ACTCTCAGCTGATCTCCAGCTATATCAGTTTGCTATTAGGTAGCAAAAGTAAACAATTTAAAATCTTGTAATCAAAAGAAGAAAAATGAATTTTTCTCCAAAAAAGTTAGAGTGAAATTGGATTTCAAAGTGCATTTTCCAAAGAATTATTTCTTCTTAGCCTGTTCATACCACAGAACTAACAGGAAATACAATTGACATCCAGAGTGTCTGCTCCAAGTAGGGAAATCACATTTGTACTAGATGAGCCTCAAGTACTTAGGGGTAATTAGTAAAGACATCAGGTGGAAAAGGCTTTCCTACAGAGCGAACAGTGATGGAGTCATAGAAAAAACAGACTTTCACAGAAAATAAGAGCATCATTTGAGAATGCCCGAGGGAAGAAAGCAAAATTTTCAAAATTCAGATCTATTATCAGAATAAAGAAATATAAGATGGATCTGATGCATGCAGGCCAATCAGTAACACAGTAAATAATATATAATTCTGGTCTATATTGCATTTGTGTAATTTCACTTACATTTTAAGTCCAGGATGTTCAATAACGAGTACTGATTTTGGATGTACAACTTTGGATGGTCAACTGCTGAGATGAGTAGCTCAACAGAGGACGCCTTCAACACCGGAACGGGGCGGGAGGAGATCAGCGTCCAGGAGCCTCAACTCAGAGCGACAAGAGCCACCGAGGGACCCTCAAGTCCTTGAGAGGACCTGCCCAGGAGCCGGCAGCTCAGCTGGCGACAGCGAGCAGCTGACTCACACGGAGCGGAGCCAAGAGGAGCGGCACCAGCCCTGACTGGGTAAAAACCTGCCTCAGGGAGCGCGATAGAGGCAGCTTGCGCCGGGTGGTGAGCACTCGTCATGTGAGCAGGCCCCAGTCCGGCAGCTCTGCTCTGGCTGCCCCGGCTGCCCCGGCGGTGGCCAGCGTAGGCACCCAGACAGAGCCGGTGAGAGGGGAGGCTGCAGTGCAGAGCTCGGGGTGCAGAGAGTGCCTGCACTGGTCTGGTGAGGGGAGGGTGCACAATGGGCAGGGCTGCACTCGGTGCTCCCTGGTGGAGGTGCTCCCGCAGCAGGTGGCTGAGCTGCGGGATGCTGTTAATAGGCTGCAGGATGTCAGGGAAGCTGAGAGGAAGCAGGAATGCTTGCTCCAGGCCCAAACTGTGCAGGGGCCTCGAGCTTCCCCTCTACCTCATGAAGGAAAGAAGGAGACCATTAACCCGGGAAGCTGGGAATTAGTGACAAAAAAAAAAAAAAGAAAACAACAGAAAAAGGAGGAAGAGGATAATTAAAAACAAGGGGCTTCCTTCTAAATCTGTTGTCCCCATGCAGAACTGCTTTGCTGTCCTGTTGGAGGCTAATGAGGAAAGGCACTCGCACCAGAAACAGCTGACTGATGCATTGCTGTCCTGGGTTCAGCAGTAGCAGTCATTTTTCTCCTTCTTGGTAGCTGGTGCAGTGCTGTGTTTTGACTTTTGGCTTGGGAACAGAGCTGATAACAATGATGTTTTGGTTTGGCCAAGGACTTTGTGAGCCTCATACTCTGCCAGGGAGGAGGAGAAGCCAGGAGGAAGCAGAGACAGGACACCTGACCCAAGCTAGCCAAAGAGGTATTCCATACCACAGCATGTCATGCCCAGGATGTAACTGGGAGTTAGCCAGAAGGGTGGGGAGTCTGCAGGGTTGGAGGAGGTATCAGTCAGTGCTTGGTTTGGTTGGGGGGGCAAGTTATCAGTTGGCTGGTGATGAGGTGTTGTATTCTTTTCTCTTGTTATTTCCTTTATCATTATTATTATTGGTGGTAGCAGTAGTGATCTGTGTTATACCTTAGTTACTAAACTGTTCTTATCTCAACCCGTGGGAATTGCATTCTTTTCGATTCTCCTCTCCATCCCTCCAGGAGTAGGGGGGAGGAAAAGAAGGGGGGGGGGGGGAGTGAGTGAACGAGTTGCCTGACTGGGTTTAAACCACAACAGTTCTTTTTGGTGCCCAACGTAGGGCATGAGGGGTTGAGGTAACAGCAGATCTGACCAGATTAATAGTCACTCGTCACAATGCTGATTTATTGGCTCTCAGAGTTGTTCCTCTTGATCTCACAGTTTCAGAATGTAGTACATTACTTAGACCCGGTATTTGCTGTGTTAGTGTTTATCAAGTGTGGAGCTTGGGCTAAGGTTTTTGTTTCACTGTATGGCAATGGCTTGTAATACGGGTGGGCTCCAGCAGCAGGGTGGGACGGACGTGGCCGTGGACTTGTACCTGGCCGTCCGGCTGCTCTTCACCGTCCTGGCCCCCGCCCTCGCCTCCGTCTTCGTGAGGCCTCGGGGAGCCGAGGGGGAGCAGCCCCGGGAGCCGGCGGCTGCTGAAGAGGCCCGGGAGAGCGGCCCCGGGGACCAAGCGGCGGCGGGAGCGGGGCCGGAGGCCGCGAGGGGACGGCTGCCGGTGGAGGAGGTTGGGGCGGTCGAAGAGCGGAAGGAGGCGGCTGCCGAGCAGCGGGAAAAGGCGGTGTAGGAGCCGAGCCCCGCGGAGGAGCGGAGCCCCGCAGCCGAGACCAGCCCCGTGACGGCCGAGAGCGTTCCCCGAAACATCTCTACTGGTGCGGCCAGGAAAAAGCAGCGGATCGTAATAGTAGTAGGGGACTCTGAAAGGGACAGAAGCACTTGTCTGTCGGCCTGATCCGGTCTCAGGGGAGGTGTGTTGCCTACCAGGGGCACGGATCAGGGGTGTTGCAGACAGGCTGCCTGCTCTAGTAAGTCCCACGGACTATCACCTGCTTCTAGTGACACATGTGGGTGCTAGGGATATAGACAGTAGTAGCCTGGGGAACATAAAGAAGGACTACAGAGCCCTGGGAGAGGTGGTTAGAGGCTCTGGAGCTCAGATGTCTTTTCATCAATTCTCCAGGATACAGGGGAGGACCTAAAAAAAGCTAGGAGGATTGGCCAGGTTAATAAATGGTTAAAAGGGAGGTGTCATAGTCAGGGGTTTGGGTGTCTTGAACATGGGACCCAAGTTTGTAGGCCAGGTCTAGTGGGGGCTGGTGGAGCTGCTCTAAAGAGCAGTTTTGGTAGGAGGCTTGCCAGACTGGTCAAGGAGGCTTTAAACTAGATGTGTTGGGGGAGGGGGGCATCATTCCATCCCAACACACCCAGTCAGTTGCCAGCACCTATAATAAATGCTCAGAGCAATGTAGAGATATCCCAGCCCCTCCAGCCAATGAGCCGGCTTCATTTGGAGCTCGGCTCAGATGCCTCTATACAAATGCCCGTAGCATGGGGAACAAACAAGAGGAATTAGAGATGTGTGCACGTCTACGGGGGTATGATATAATAGGCATCACAGAAACATGGTGGGATGGCTCCTATGACTGGAGTGTTGGAATGGAAGGTTACAGGCTCTTTAGAAAAGACAGGCCTGGCAGGCGGGGAGGGGGAGTTGCCCTTTATGTTAGGGATAGGCTGGAGAGTATGGAACTCTGTCTGAGGGCAGGTGAGCAGTTAAGGGAGAGTTGGTGGGTCAGGGTCAAAGGGAAAACGGCTACGGGAGACATTACTGTGGGGGTCTGCTTCTATGATTCTAACCTGTGGATGAAGCACTCTATAGACAGATAGGAGCAGCCTCATGCTCACAGGCCCTTGTTCTCATGGGGGACTTCAACCACCCTGACATCTGTTGGAAGGATGGTACAGCCCGGCACAAGCAATCCAGGAGGTTCCTCAATCGTGTGGAAGACAACTTCCTTCTGGAAGTAATAGAGGAGCTGACAAGGAGAGGTGCCATGCATGACCTTGTGCTCACCAAAAGGGAAGGGCTTGTTGGAAATGTGATGCTCCTGGGCAGCCTTGGATGCAGCTATCACAAGATGGTCAAATTTGAGATCCTCAGGACAGTGAGAAAAGCGTGCAGCAAGCTCAGTGCCCTGGACTTCAAAAGAGCAGACTTTGGCCTCTTCAAGAACCTGCTCTAGTAAGGTTCCATGGGATATAGCCCTAGAGGGCAGGGAGGCCTAAGACTCATGGTCGACATTCAAGGATCACCTGGGAACAGGAAGTTTAGGTTGCATGTAAGGAGGAAATTCTTTCCTGTTAGGGTGGTGAGGCACTGGAATAGGTTGCCCAGGGAGGTTCTGAATGCTCCATCCCTGGCAGTGTTCAAGGCCAAGTTGGATGAAGCCTTGGGTGAGATGGTTTAGTGTGAGGTGTCCCTGCCCATGGCAGGGGGGTTGGAACTTGATGATCTTAAGGTCCTTTCCAACCCTAACTGTTCTGTGATTCTGAGATGAAATCCTGTAATTATTCAGTGTCCAGAAATTATGAGTTCATACCCTTCCCTCCACCTTCAATGCTCCGGTCAGTTTTCATATTTCTTTGTTGAACAAGTCAATAGTTTCTCCTCACAACCCTCTTACTGCCCATAAAAGCTTCCCTTTATGCCCACCTGTTGCTGAGGAGAGACTTCAGTTCACAGACTCCTGGTGCAACAGCTTAAAACAGTTCCCTAAAAGCAGTCTACTGTTATGTCAATATAGTTGCCCTGATGCAGTAAGTATTAAACTGAAATTTCTCACAAAGAATTAGACCATATGGTTTCTCTGCTAGGTTTAGTGAATTAACTAACTCCCTCCTTTGTAACTTGCAATAAATAGCTATAAAACCTTCTGCTGTCTTTTTAAAGAATAGTACAAAGTACAAACACTGCAGAACTGGTTTAGCTCTTATCAAACAACAAGAAATGTAATTATATTGCATTTCCCCAAGAACTATTTTCTTTTATTTAACCCTGTTCCTTCAAAAAGACAGAAGAACTTATTGGTCTTACATATACTGCAGCCGGATTCAACAATCCATTGCAATTGCTGATTTTTTTCAGAGGCCTGTGCTCCTCAGCTGGACCACTGTGGTTCCCTACTTGTGCCCTGTTATTTCAGGAAAAATCCAACTGGACCCAATTTTTCTGTGAAAGTAAGGGCTCTAAATTGAAATCAGCTTCTGTGTCTCCCTTAGATCTCCTTTTACATGCTGCTGCTTTGCAGAGTCTTGTGTCACTCTCCCAGGACTATGTGTATTTCCTCTCATTCAGCTCTTGCCCACTGATCAGGTAAGCTATCTGCTATATTTTGGACCAGTTGCGTACACCTGTGTTTTGCATTCCTGTAAAAGGTAATTTTGATCTTATTCATTCTTTTAGCTGTGTATTCTTCTTGGAAGAAAAGGGATGGAAAATCCCACACTGACATGCGGTAATAAAAGGGCAGAACAATTTTCAGTTCCTATTGCTGCAAGTAATTTCTTTGTACTCCCAAATTCTGCCCCTGTCATATTGTCAGTAGCTGGTGGCTAGCAAGGTATCTTGAAGTTCAAAGCAGAGGTCTGCACATTCAAAAAGGTGTTGGAACAGAAAACCAAAAACTTTACCTAAATAATGGTGAGGATAGGTGACCTGTTGGAAATAAAGAAATATTACTTCTAAAGCTATCTGGAAAGAAACCAATTGACCTCAGTGCTTGCTCTGCCCTGAAGAATATCCAGGTAAATTTTGATGCTATAGCATTGTAAGCAAAAAACTCAAATGCCAACCAATTCATGATTGCAAATCATGGAAACTGTTGGAACCCAGGTGTCCCTTTTAGCACTACTTTGCAGCTTCTGCAGTATCACAGAGGTGGTCCAATGAGTAGGACTGGAAAATAATAGATAATTTGAAAACTCTTAGAAAAAAATCATTTAATTACTTTCCATTTCTCCTGCTTGCACCTGATAAATGAACATATTAAACTGTGAAGACTCAGGAGCCTTCAAAAGCCTTTGATGTGTATTAGAATAATCTAATAATTAACCTAATAATTCACCAGCATGACTCATTGAGGTGAAGTGAAACAGTGCTTATGATGAAGGGAATTCCAGATCTGCCAACCCCAAGGTACCAACCTGGCTTCATTCTCCTCTCCTTTGCCGTGGAGAGCTCTGAGCTCCCTTTGATCTACATCTTGCTGTGTTTTATTCTTGGTGAGAGGTTCTTTTTTCGATGCAGATATTTTAAAAAGCTGGGAACATCATGTTTAAAAAGGCAATATTAAGATATTGAGAAATAACATTTGGCTTTCATAATATAAATGTAAAAGAAGATAAATTTTCCCCCTGGGCTGTTTTTGTCAGTACCTGATATTAGAGAACACTGTTCAATCCAGAGTACCTATTAAATATTTTGTATTGATGTGGTTACTGGATCTAAGTGTGAGCCCTCTCTTTAAAGTAAGAAAACCTACCCTCACAACTTACCCTGCTTCTTTGTCTAATACGATAATATTGGTCTTACTTCTGTTCTAGAGGATAGTACTTCAGCTCCTCTAAGTGCCGTTAAAGAGGTGCCTGTTTTGCATTGATAAATTGCTCCCTTTGCCTTTAACTGGAGGCATAATGATCCATAATAATATAACTCTGTATTTGTACCAGGACCAGAAGTGATCACCGATTTTATGTACTCAGATTAAATAAGTACTTTTATCCTGATTTTGTAATGTACTGGAAAGCTTTGATGCCAGTTGGACCAAATGGTAACCGAGGGCATCAGCAGCTCCCTGAAAATGAACACTCAAAACCTGGAATTGATTAAGGAGTGGACATTTAAAAACCTGGGCAGCAGTTTCTGTTGTCTGTGACTCTCTGAGTGCTTTTATAATATACTGTGGGAGCCAAGGTATTCCCAGACTCAGTGAAGAGGACCACAACTGTGACTGATGAGCCAGGGTCACTGTACAGCTTTCATTCACAATATGATTCAAAAGGGAGAAGCATACCCTCTCTTACAGCTGCATGGGCATATCCAGAGCCTCCTCCATGGTAAATCAAAAGACACATTAGAATGAGATGCAGCAATACCACTGATAGGTACAAACTGTGAAGCTGGAAACACCCTAAGTCTTTAGAGGGCTGTCTGGGAGAAACCAGGATTGGGAAGGACTACCGTTGCTGAACCAAGGAACCTTTTGAGGTGTCCAACAGTGACCAACATTTTAATTTGGAAAAAAAATGAGTTTCATTGTGCTTTGAACTGGGGATCTAAGCCTCATAGAAGCCCTAGAAATTGTTTCTCAAGGAATAGAAAAGCTGTTCTCTTTCTCTCTCTCTCTCGTGAATAAGCTATATTACATATCATTACATATGTCTCCATTATAAACTAACTGCCACTCAGTGCAGTTCCAGGTCCAGATCTTCAAGATCACTGACACACCAAATTCATCCATTGTTTTTTCCAACACTTTCATTTCTCAGAGCATTTGTCTTTTAAAAACAATGCGGTTTATCCAAGCTAAAGATAATATGTTCCTTCTGTTAAAGTGAAGCAGCAGATTTATTCAAAATAACACTTGTATTAGGGCAACCTGAGATACAACTGCCTGGGTTAATTTTCTTTCCATCTGTAGTGAGTCTGCCTGAGTCATACTAAAACTGAAATTATAATTATTTTTACTGCTATCAAAGGAGCTCCTTTTAGTACTTGAACGCGATGAAAAGTCTCAGATGAACTGTAGTTAATAATGGTTTGTGGTGAATTTGGGAGGGCACTTCAAGCAGGGATATCTGCTTTTGACCATGTTCTGTTCAATACTGTCACTGGTGATGTGACCAGCAAAGCAGGGAGAGCGGCTGTATTACTTGAGGTGAAGTATCTGAAAAACTACACAGGATTTCAAAGCCAGGTAAGCATCTTCATTCTGAAAGCAGCAAACCAGAGATTTACAAAGGACAAGTGGAGCCTCGGAACTTGGGAATGAAGATTTAAAACGGGCCAGGTAGTAACTAGGCAGAAAAAAAATCTGCAGTTTACAATGTGCCACAAATGCATTCGAGGCTGCTGCAAAAGATCAAATCCCATTCTGGGATGTTTCTAAGAGCACTGTTGGATGTAAGACAGAGGAATGAAATTATTCTGCTCTACTTGCCACTGGAGAAAGCTCAGTGGAAGTACTGTATTCGATGTGGGGCATTGCACTTAAAGACAGATGTATACCAACTGGAGATAATCCAAAGGAAAGCGGCAGGATTGATCAGTTTCTAACAAATGTGGCAAAGGAGGAATGAGCCTCATTTCATTTAATAAAAAGGAAAGGAAGAAAGAAGGGTGATAATGACTCCCCAAGTTGTAAAAGTTTGTTATAAAAAAGAGGTGGTCAGTTATCCACTAAGTCCAAGACAGGAACGCCCAGAAGAAATCAGCATTCTTTGCAACAAATGAGATTTAAATTATTCGTAAGGAAGAAAAATCTAGTCACAAGATTTATGAACACATTAGAACAAGATAACAAGATGCAAGTTAAATTCCAATTAGTGAAGATCTTTAAGGACAGTTTAGGCTTAGGTGTGGTGAGTTAGGTATAACTGATCCTTGTTCTTTGAAAGGGTATGAAGAAGGTGACCTCTTGATGTCCCTTCCAATACTGAAATTTCTAAAGGGTGAATTACACCCTTTCCTTTCTCTGTGCAAAGATGTAGAGTGGCGGTTCAGAGGTGGTGCTGCGATGGCAAGTAAAGATAGTAATTAAATTTTGAAAATAATTATCTGTTGTCATGTGTGCTTCAAACATGCTGTCCCATATCATGGCATCATAGAGTTTGACAAGAAATTTGGATTGAGGACAGCAAATGATGCAAGTTTAGGACCTGAAAGAGATTTATAATCCGTATCCCTAGAGCTAGAGAGTCTGAATTCTTCCTGGCTGCTTAATGTCCATCTGAAACACTACTTAGAAACATATCCTGATGCTATGATGTTTTCTTTCCTGTTCTTAGGGGAGCTGTTCTCACAGTTGTCTGTGAGAAGATCAAAGCAGATTGCCTGCATAAAATGCTCTAACTTCCAGACTGTGGGCTGAAACGGATATATATTTTTTTTACAATTATTATTCAAAAAGTCCTAATGGATGTATTTGAAGATTTTGCCTAGAGATGAAATCATATTGTCATGCAAAGACATATCTAATCAGAGTTAAACAGCCAGCTAAAATTCACAGGATAACTTTCTACAGCAGGGAACTTCCACAAGAACAGCTATGCCTTTCATAGGCTACAGGTCCAAGTGAATATGAAAAGATAAATTTGAAATCTAGTTATTCAGCAAATAAACATGGAATCTCTGAATCAGCACATTTAAGCCTTTTTTCTAATCAACACATACTAATTATTAGTATAATTGGTATCATCCAGAAGGCCTGGAAAGTGTTATGTAGGGTTATTCTGGAAATTGCTGTCTAAGGCTGCCTTAATCTGGATATGACTGGTTTTGAATAAGCATGTGTAAGTCACTATCAATTTTCATCAAGTTGGTCCAAGCGTATTTATCCTTTCTCTGTATGTGATGACAGGCACTGCAGCCTAGGTGAAAATGTCCCATCCGCCTCTCTTAGAAAAGCTTAATAATTTATTTGTAGTCCGCCTCATTCTAGACTGGTGCATACTGCGTATTCTCTACACTGCACAGCTGGCTTTTAAGGAAGCAGTACTGCATGCTACAGACATCTTTGCCTGGCATCCCTCCATTTTTCACAATATTGGTATGGAACCAGTGTGTGAAGTTAGCATTTTCAAAACAAAACAGAATGAAGAATCGATACTAGTGCTGGGAGAAATGTCATGACCTTGATTACAACTAGTACAATTCAGCAACCAAGACGCAAAAGCAGTTTCTCCCCACTATCACCAAGGTAAGGATGTAGAGGAAAGAAGGTGCCCACTACATGACTTCCATAATAGGGTGTTAATGCTGTGAAACTAGTGGCAGCTCATTAGCTTCCTTCTCTGTCGTGCTGACCCCCTCTTTGTTGTGTAATAATGAATTTGGCAAAGGAAAACAATGCTTTCCCTTTTTCTTTCTTTTAAGGAGCTTTGGCTCTGTTTTACCAGACCAGTACATTGCTGCATTCCACCAAGAATTGACTCGTGTGACACCTGAAATCCCAGTGCACTGAATGAGGTAAGTCATGTAGTCTCGCTCCTCGGGTTTCCCTTGCTTGCTTGCTTTTCTGAGCAGGCAGTCAGCTATTCAACTTCAGGCTGCCATCATCAACTCTGCATCCAGATCTTTAAGCTCGTGGGGTGCAGCTGCTCCGTGATTCAGCAGTTCTGCCTGCAGGAGGTTTGTGGGATCAGGTTGCTTAACACTGTAGGTGCAGCCATCCTGTCTCTGCCTCTTCCAGCAGCAGCCAGCTGCTGTGCTGCAAGGGGATCCCATCACATACTTGTTGCGTTACTGCAGGTCAGACACCCTGTGAAATCTGACTTACCCCACTTACCCCACCATCACTTTTAAAGCATGTGTTTACACAATTTTGAAATGTACCACTCTTGCCTCTGAGCAGTGCTGAAGACCCAGGATTCAGAAATAGGAGAGCATTTCTGAGCCAGGCAAGATGGTCTGGGTTTGCAAAACTGAGCTTCAGGGCTGTGCGTACAGTCTCACATCCAGACTTCCCTCTTGCATCGAATAGAA